CATCAAGATCTCACCTGCCATAGCCAGACACTTATCATCAAGATCTCACCTGACGTAGCCAGACACTCAACATCAAGATCTGGTTCTTCTCGTCATGTGAGTGGAAAACAACTTTAGTGCCACAGAGCTGGAGCTAAACAACGATAGTACACTTACATCTGGAGCTCAATAACTTTGGTGGATTTATATAGCTGGAGCTAAACAACGATAGTACACTTACTTCTGGAGCTCAATAACTTTAGTGGATTTATAGAGCTGGAGCTAAACAACGATAGTATACTTACATCTGGAGCTCAATAACTTTAGTGGATTTATAGAGCTGGAGCTAAACAACGTTAGTACACTTACATCTGGAGCTCAGTAACTTTAGTGGATTTATAGAGCTGCGGCTAAGAAATGTTAGTACACTTTGATTGTGAGCTAAATAACGTTTTTTGAAACGGATCTGGAGCAAAACAACGTTAGTGTACACAGATCTAGAGCTAAAAAACCCTAGTGTCCACAAATCTAGAGCTAAACCACGTTAGTGCACTTATATGTAGAGCTAAACAAAGTTTGTAAACAGGGTCAGTTCTCTCCATGTTATCTCGTTTATTTCTGTGAGTCGCCAGAAGAATTGACATGCAGTTACAAGGGAAAACAGTTTTGGTGTTTTTTAAGTTTCCTTTCCCCTGAACTTTGACTGAATCAAAAATTGCTTGCTGCTCTGCTCCGAAGCTTGTTGAGTCTTCCGGAGGCGCATAACGTTTCTATTTGGTAAATAACAGGAAGGCGTTGTCAATTAAATGTCCAAACTCAAGCAAATGCCGTTCTATCGAAGAACTGGGTTCTTTCATTTTGGCTGGTTTTCATACACTCACGGGATCACTCACTTCCACACGAAACCATTTGGGGTGTCGTTTCCAACAATTCTGTTTCAAGCTGCTTTTCCTTTCAACCAATATAAGTTAACTGACACTTCCATGTCAACTGACACTTCCATGTCAACTGACATCTCTATGTCAACTGACACTTCCATGTCAACTGACACTTCCATGTCAACTGACATCTCTATGTCAACTGACACTTCCGTGTCAACTGACACTTCCATGTGAACTGACATCTCTATGTCAACTGACACTTCCATGTCAACTGACACTTCCGTGTCAACTGACACTTCCATGTGAACTGACATCTCTATGTCAACTGAACTTCCGTGTCAACTGACATATCTATGTCAACTGACACTTCCATGTCAACTGACATCTCTATGTCAACTGACACTTCCATGTCAACTGACACTTCCATGTGAACTGACACTTCCATGTCAACTGACACTTCCATGTTAACTGACACTTCCATGTGAACTGACATCTCTATGTCAACTGACACTTCCATGTCAACTGACACTTCCATGTGAACTGACATCTCTATGTCAACTGACACTTCCATGTCAACTGACACTTCCATGTGAACTGACATCTCTATGTCAACTGACACTTCCATGTCAACTGACACTTCCATGTGAAATGACATCTCTATGTCAACTGACACTTCCATGTTAACTGACACTTCCATGTGAACTGACACTTCCATGTGAACTGACATCTCTATGTCAACTGACACTTCCATGTTAACTGACACTTCCATGTGAACTGACACTTCCATGTGAACTGACATCTCTATGTCAACTGACACTTCCATGTTAACTGACACTTCCATGTGAACTGACACTTCCATGTGAACTGACATCTCTATGTCAACTGACACTTCCATGTCAACTGACACTTCTATGTGAACTGACATCTCTATGTCAACTGACACTTCCATGTCAACTGACACTTCCATGTCAACTGACACTTCCATGTGAACTGACACTTCCATGTCAACTGAAACTTCCATGTGAACTGACACTTCCATGTGAACTGACATCTCTATGTCAACTGACACTTCCGTGTCAACTGACACTTCCATGTGAACTGACATCTCTATGTCAACTGACACTTCCATGTCAACTGACACTTCCGTGTCAACTGACACTTCCATGTGAACTGACATCTCTATGTCAACTGAACTTCCGTGTCAACTGACATCTCTATGTCAACTGACACTTCCATGTCAACTGACATCTCTATGTCAACTGACACTTCCATGTCAACTGACACTTCCATGTGAACTGACACTTCCATGTCAACTGACACTTCCATGTTAACTGACACTTCCATGTGAACTGACATCTCTATGTCAACTGACACTTCCATGTCAACTGACACTTCCATGTGAACTGACACTTCCATGTCAACTGACACTTCCATGTGAACTGACACTTCCATGTGAACTGACATCTCTATGTCAACTGACACTTCCATGTTAACTGACACTTCCATGTGAACTGACACTTCCATGTGAACTGACATCTCTATGTCAACTGACACTTCCATGTGAACTGACACTTCCATGTGAACTGACACTTCCATGTGAACTGACATCTCTATGTCAACTGACACTTCCATGTTAACTGACACTTCTATGTCAACTGACACTTCCATGTCAACTGACACTTCCGTGTCAACTGACACTTCCATGTGAACTGACATCTCTATGTCAACTGAACTTCCGTGTCAAATGACACTTCCATGTCAACTGATTTGTAGAACTTGCCTGAGAGTGGGGAGACACTAGTGCTTCAACAGGCATGGCTGGGAGGAAGTGATCCTGTTTCTCAACACTGAAACGTTTGGCATCACCTGTTGTAGTCGGGCCTGCAGGCGCTGCCGGATGTCATCCCTGGATCAGTCAGTTGGATAAATACTTGTAGTCTAGGCACTGGAGTTTCTTGTTGGGGAGTTGGGCTGGGAAGGAAACAGTAGCGCGTTAAATGAATCTTGTAAAGTACCCATTTAGAAGTACAATGATCTTGAAGGGTCCAATTTAATGGATTATCCACATTCCAATCAAAGACTACAGTTAGTCGACTGTTAAACTTTATCCAAATTCCAATCAGAGACTACAGTTAGTCAACTGGGAGACTTTATCCAAATTCCAATCAAAGACTACAGTTAGTCAACTGGGAAACTTTATCCAAATTCCAATCAAAGACTACAGTTAGTCAACTTGGAGACTTTATCCAAATTCCAATCAGAGACTACAGTTAGTCGACTGGGAGACTTTATCCAAATTCCAATCAGAGACTACAGTTAGTCGACTGGGAGACTTTATCCAAATTCCAATCAAAGACTACAGTTAGTCAACTAGGAGACTTTATCCAAATTCCAATCAAAGACTACAGTTAGTCAACTTGGAGACTTTATCCAAATTCCAATCAAAGACTACAGTTAGTCAACTTGGAGACTTTATCCAAATTCCAATCAGAGACTACAGTTGGTCAACTGGGAGACTTTATCCAAATTCCAATCAAAGACTACAGTTAGTCAACTGGGAGACTTTATCCAAATTCCAATCAGAGACTACAGTTAGTCAACTGGGAGACTTTATCCAAATTCCAATCAAAGACTACAGTTAGTCAACTGGGAGACTTTATCCAAATTCCAATCAGAGACTACAGTTAGTCGACTGGGAGACTTTATCCAAATTCCAATCAAAGACTACAGTTAGTCAACTTGGAAACTTTATCCAAATTCCAATCAAAGACTACAGTTAGTCAACTGGGAGACTTTATCCAAATTCCAATCAAAGACTACAGTTAGTCAACTGGGAGACTTTATCCAAATTCCAATCAGAGACTACAGTTAGTCGACTGGGAGACTTTATCCAAATTCCAATCAAAGACTACAGTTAGTCAACTTGGAAACTTTATCCAAATTCCAATCAAAGACTACAGTTAGTCAACTAGGAGACTTTATCCAAATTCTAATCAAAGACTACAGTTAGTCAACTTGGAGACTTTATCCAAATTCCAATCAGAGACTACAGTTGGTCGACTGGGAGACTTTATCGAAAATAAAGAAAGAAATGCAGTCAGCTCTGAATAGTAAACTGGTCACTGACGACCTGCCACGTGGCTCACAGATCAGCTCAAATGTAAGGACTCCCTTAAAAACATAACAAAGTGATGCCTTTGAGGCCCGTTGGATTCATGGTTCCTCTGTCTGCCTGTTCGTATATCCGATGAATGGAAACACAATTTTCTTTCCGTCAGTCTTGCGGCTGGTATGTGTGTCTGTCTGCCCGCCAGCCAATTTATCTGTATGTCTGATTTACCACTTTCTTTCTATCCTACTACCACCACAGTCTGGTGAAACTGATGCAGCGGGGAGTGACGAGAGGTTCTTACAGAGGCTCAGAGGATAGACAAGACGGACATTTAATCAGAATAATGCTGGCACCATTAGTATCGGAATTCTTCCTGACTGCTGAAGATGGGGAAAGAGCGCTTATGGGAATGCCCCGAGTGCTGTGATGACGGGTCTTGAATCAAATCGATTTTATCCTACTTTGTTTACTTTTTTTGGTCTGCCCGAGTTTTTTTTTTTTTAACTCATTCTTTCTTTTTTTAATTTCTGTGTTTCGTTCTTTTATTTCACTTTGTTTCACGTGTTCATTGCCATTGTATTTGTTTTACGCTTCTCCTTATGTTATTTTTGTTTCTTGTATATCCACTTTGAGCACTCGCCAACTTAAAATGATTTTTTGTGTTTGGTTTATTATTGCTCGGGACTCCAACGATTCAACAATAAATATGACACTCCCACACCATCAACCAGCCCCCCTCCCCCCAAACCATCAACCAGCCCCTCCCCCCATCAACCAGCCCCCCCCCCCAACACCATCAACCAGCCCCCCCCACCACACCATCAACCAGCCCTCCCCCCACCACACCATCAACCAGCCCCCCCCCCCCCACCACACCATCAACCAGCCCCCCACAGCATCAACCAGCCCCCCCCCCACCACACCATCAACCAGCCCCCCCCCCTTACCACACCATCAACCACCAGCCCTCCCCCACCACACCATCAACCAGCCCTCCCCCCCACCACACCATCAACCAGCCCCCCCCCCCCCCCCACCACACCATCAACCAGCCCTCCCCCCACCACACACCACCAACCAGCCCTCCCCCCACCACACCATCAACCAGCCCCCCCCCCCCCACCACACCATCAACCAGCCCTCCCCCACCACCAACCAGCCCCCCCACCACACCATCAACCAGCCCCCCCCCCCACCACACCCATCAACCAGCCCTCCCCCACCACACCATCAACCAGCCCTCCCCCACCACACCATCAACCAGCCCCCCCCCCCCCACCATCAACCAGCCCCCCCCCCCACCACACCATCAACCAGCCCCCCACAGCATCAACCAGTCCCCCCCCCACCACACCATCAACCAGCTCCCCCCCCCCCCCCACCACACCATCAACCAGCCCCCCACAGCATCAACCAGGCCCCCCCCCCACCACCACCACAGCATCAACCTGCCCCCCCCCCCCACCACACCATCAACCAGCTCCCAACAGCATCAACCAGCCCCCTACACCATCAGCCAGCCCCCCTACACCATCAGCCAGCCCCCCCCCCCCCCCCACTGCATCAGCCCTTCCCCCCCCCCCGCACCATCAACCAGCCCCTCCCCCCTAAACATCAGCCAGTCCCCCACCCCTCCACTCCCTAAAGTAAATAGGGGGTAGGGGAGGATGAGGGCGAGCTTTCTCTCAAATAACTGCTCACGAGTTTTCTATACACTTCTCTGACCCCGACCCCCAGAGACATGAGCCCTCATTTCTTCCGGCCATGCAGACTTTTTGATTGCCAAAAAGCGGCTCGACGACGCTGCTATTGTCGTAAACTGTACCAGTGGGGCCGATTTTGTACAAACGAATTCGCCAGAACGCATGCAACATTCAACAAAATGATCTACACACAAATAATTTCTCTCCTTTCAAAGAGAAACCATCAATTAAGGGTTTTCTGTCCTGGCCACGTGGCTCCAAACTCTAAGACCAGATTTGTATTCACAAACGAGGCCATTTTATCCCAGAATTGTTCACGTGGAAGAGAAGATGGCACTCTCAAAAACTGCAGCTGACTGGAGGGGGGGGGGGGGGGGAGTAGGAAAGACAAACGTCTGCAGCTCCAGACTAAAAACGATTTGTGACAAGTTTCTGCGGAATGGTGGAAGACCTGATGTCACCGAGTCTGTCACTCGACACCGGCAACACTGGCCTTGAGTCACTCGACCATGGGGAATACAAGCTGCATAAACCTTAGACGTATCAAACCTGACCAATTGTTCAATGGTTGTTAATTATCTGGGACCACTCTTACATCTACTCCCACCCCTCCCTGCTCGTACATCTACCCCCCACCCCTCCCTGCTCGTACATCTACCCCCCACCCCTCCCTGCTCGTACATCTACCCCCCACCCCTCCCTGCTCGTACATCTACCCCCCACCCCTCCCTGCTCTTACATCTACCCCCCACCCCTCCCTGCTCTTACATCTACCCCCCTCCCCTCCCTGCTCTACCCCTCCCCTTCCTCTACCCCCTCCCCCTCCTCTATCTACCACCCCTACTCTATCTACCACCCCTCCTCTATCTACCACCCCTCCTCTATCTACCACCCCTCCTCTATCTGCCACCCCTCCTCTATCTGCCACCCTCCTCTATCTGCCACCCCTCCTCTATCTACCACCCCTCCTAGATCTATTACCACTTCCATAATAATCCTTTCGCCCCCCCCCTCTCCCATATTTTTCGCTTGTGTTGTTTTCTTCATGTCTTGTGTTTTCCAGTTTTGTTTTCCCCGCCTTGCCCTCCCCCCCCCTCACGTCTTATTTTGTTGTTTTATCTTGTATTTGCCGGTCGTGCTACCCTTCGTCTTGGTTTGTCCGCACTGTCCCAGTGCTGAGCACGACATGAAGATGTTGAATATGACCGGAAGTAGCCGGACGTGCTAGCACAAAAAACTCCATTGATTTTGTTTTGCCAAGAGTTATTTCCGTATCCGGTTGTTTGGAAAGCGAAACATTCGTCACCAAGTCTAGATTCAAACAAAATAGCGGGAAAACGTCACAGCAGACGTAAAGAGGAATGAAGCGATGTGGAGTGCACAGGAAGAGGGCAAGGCGTCAGACTGTGGCGTTTGCGCGGAGATGGAGATGTCCTCAAGTAGAAATGTGATGCGACATCTTGTTGGGATCCAGCTGAGAGAAAACAGGAAGTCGCCATGTCGGCAAACAGATGAACGGTGTTTCGGGAATAGAGAGTCAGGAGGACAAGCAGACGAGAGCAGAGCGAGGGACATCCGGACAAGTTTGGGTGGGGGCGGGGGCAATACGTGGAGAACTAAAGTACACAAATATCCAGTGTGGTAAATCTCAGAGTATGGAATGGAGTAAGGCCAATAAAAGTGTTTATGGTGTGTGTGTGTGTATGTGTGTGTGCGAGCCGTTGACTAAGTTGCATGCATGCGCTTTAGTTCATCCAAGATCTGACTGTTTGATTGTATGTCCCTGGTGTCTGGTTATCGGTTAAACACCGGTCGTGTCTAATTTCTGGACTTTTAGGAGTCTGTCCTTTCCAGGGTTGATGAACGAGATCACGTGGTCCCTGGGGCGAAGTTGGTTTGCCCAAAGAAGTCGATCTTGGCGATGGCGACGCGTAAGAACAGGTCTTCGGTGTGGTCGTCGTGCTTAGAGTCCAACGTCATGCAGTCAATTTCGAACAGTTTGAGCAGAAATGTGACATCCTGCGGGCAATACCTGCGCAGTTGATGAAGCTGTTGTAAACCTGTCTCTGAGATGACGAAGCCGAAAAAAGCAATTCTCCGCTGCTGTTGTCACTCTGGGTCGTGCACTGCGATGTTGGTCTTCAGCTGAACCAGTGGCTTGGAACCGGTGCCGAGGTCAATTAAAGGTACTCCGATGCACGTTTATATTCCTGGCAACCTGACTTTGACTTTGTCCTGCCGGCAATTGGCCATTAGCAATATTCCTTAATTTATCGACAAAGGCGCCATTCGTAACTGCTTGAAATGAACTGAATGTTTTGGTTTAGCGTAATCTTATTGTAGGTTTCAATTGCGTAGGCAGTGAACAGCTTTCACCGCAAATTACGTTGCTTTCTCATGTGCGAATCAGGGGCTATGCTCACAAATAGGGTCTTAAACACAACCGACCACTGCGGTGTAACGATAAATAAAAAAAAAAAAAAAACAACCACGCAATGCACACCCACATGTTCAGTGGACACGGTAAACAACATCTAAACCTGCTCTTCACACAGCCACATGTTCAGTGGACACGGTAAACAACATCTAAACCTGCTTTTCACACACCCACATGTTCAGTGGACACGGTAAACAACATCTAAACCTGCTCTTCACACAGCCACATGTTCAGTGGACACGGTAAACAACATCTAAACCTGCTCTTCACACACCCACATGTTCAGTGGACACGGTAAACAACATCTAAACCTGCTTTTCACACACCCACATGTTCAGTGGACACGGTAAACAACATCTAAACCTGCTTTTCACACACCCACATGTTCAGTGGACACGGTAAACAACATCTAAACCTGCTCTTCACACACCCGAGTACAAATTTTTTTTTTTACAAAGTAATAAAAACGCGCTATCGGAAAACTATGCGTTTCATTTTTTGAACAGTACAGCTGTTAACTATTAATACAATTTTTTACAACAATAATAATATATTTTACAATATCATTACTATATTTTACAACAGTAATAATATATTTTAAAATATAATTACTATATTTTACAACATTATTGAAATAGGTTACAACATTATTACTAGGGCTGTACCGAATATTCGCTTCGTATTCGCTTCAGGGCCGAATAGTGGACCTAATAACTATTGGGTATTCGGCCGAATACTTGCGGTCGCGCCGAATACGAATAGTGGTTACCTTACACCCGTTTTGCATGAACTGCGATTGACTAAAATAGCTCTCTCATTAACACGATAGATGCTGTTGCATAAGTCTGTCGTAGCGGGGGAAACTGCGACCCGGTTGCCTGGTACAGCAGCTGGCAAAGTCTTTCCCTGCTGTCTCGACCTAGGCATTACAGCAGAGAGTCTCAAACTGGGTGCGTATGCCAGGGGTGCCGCAGCGAAAATCAAGAAAAGTCGGCTATAAATTGTGACATTATTAAAGAAGGCATAAAGATACTTACAAGTTGAAATTTAAATTGTCTTTCCTCGCCACTGTCGAAAAGAGTGTTTTTTTCCTTGTTTCACACACAAAGTTTTTCAAACTGCATAAAATGCCAACCGCAGCATGCTAAAATTGCTTTTGTATCTCGAGGTGCGACTAATCCTCCATCTGTATTTGTGAAGATGCAGCGGATAGGAAAGGTTGTGGTTACATTTTGGCTGAAATTTTAAAGTGGAAAATGTGGTCTGTACAAGAGTAACTGTTAGCCTTGTCAAGTAAGCACTTATATTTAAAGGCAATGCGTTGGGAGTCCGGGACAGTCGGTGGGTAGGCCAAACAATTTCTTGAGGCCTCAGAGATGTGGTTTTACAGAACAATGTTTAAAATACACTGGACAGCCAAAAAAAAAAAAAAACCCAAAAGGTTTTGAAAGTTGCGGGAGCCCGAAGACAACTAATCACAGACATCAGAAGGTGGCAGTCATCATTTTTCGGCCATGTTATCAGAAGAGGGAAAATGGAACATGCGTTGACCACCGGAAAGATCTGTGGAAGGAGGGATAGAGGAAGACAACGAGAGCAGATTCTTGACAGTCTTGTTGCATGGCATAGAGGTGTGTCAGCACACGAACTGATACATGTTGCATGAGATCACAGATTGTGGCGTGGCATATTCGGCAAGGCACCTGATGATACACTATTCGTATTCGTATTCAGCCAAATAGTTGATCCCGCTATTCGTATTCGGCCGATAGTTAAATAACTGTTCGGTACAGCCCTAATTATATCTATATTTGACAACATTATTGATGTGTTTCAAAACATTATTACTATATTTCACAACATTATTGATACATGTCACAACATTAATACTATATTTTACAACATTAATAACATATGTCACAACATTAATACTATATTTTACAACATTAATCATATCTGTCACAACATTAATAGTAAGTATTTCAACATTAATGATATTGTCACAAATTTTATTATTATATTTTACAACATCAATCACATATGTCACCAACTTTTTACTATATTTTACAACATTATTGGTATATATCACAATATTTTTCAACAATAAAGAAATATGTCACAACACTAATACTATATTTTACAACATTTTTACTATATTTACAAAATTATTATTACATTTTACAACATTATTACTGTATTTTACATCATTAATGATATATGTGCCAGCATAAATACTATATTATACTTTTTTAGACCATAGACTGGCGTATAACAAACTGGACCTTGTGGCGCCGATGTGTAGATAAATAGATCATATCTGGTCGGGTTTTAGCAAGCTAAGTCGGACTGGCATAAAATAAGCTAAACATTGTTGGATTAGCCCGTACCAAACTAGACTGGGTCACACTAACATGTAGCTTCTTCTTCTTCTTTCGTTCTTAAGTTGTCTGTTTCAGCAGTTTTGTCTCTTGTATAAATTTCACTGTCGTTGTTAGTTCATTCAGTGGTCCATAGAGTTTACGTTCCACTGTTGTTCTTTCTGGCCAAAAGGTTTGCCTTAATGTGTCAAAATCGGTGCAGTCCTGGAGTACATGCCCTGCTGTGTGGGGCACATTTCCGCAGGTGCACATGGCTGATACACCTATCTTGAATTTTGTGTACATGTGGTTACGTAATTGGCTGTGCTCTGTTCTGAGGCGGAGGATAATGACTTGTTCTGGTCTGTCCATAATAAAATAGTCGTCTTGTGCTGGGGCTGGTGGTTTCCTGATCGATTTAATGATTCTTTTCTTTTGGTGGTATGTGACTCTTACATCCGGCTGCTCTTTTGTCGCACCTTCCCCTGCCAGTTGATCAGCTTTCTCATTTCCAGGCACTCCACAATGAGACGGTATCCACTGCATTACGAATTTTCGCTGAACGCTGAGTTGTGTCAGAAGTGTTTGCAATTCTGGTAGTTTCTTAGACTGGAGTGCTTCAAGTATTAATTTAGCATCTGTCAGCATTACCACACACTGTGAGCCAAGGTTGGTATTTAGCAGTTTCTAATATGTAGCAAACTAGATCTTGTCGGACCAGCGTGTACCAAACTAGAGTTTGTGAGACTGACATTTAACACACTAGACATTGTTGGACTGGTGTGTAACAAACTTGACATTGTTGGACTGGTGTGTAACAAACTTGACATTGTTGGACTGGTGTGTAATCAACTAGACATTGTTGGACTGGTGTGTAACAAACTAGACTTCGTTGGACTGGTGTGTAACAAACTAGACTTTGTTGGACGGGTGTGTAACAGACTAGACTTTGTTGGACTGGTGTGTAACAGACTAGACATTGTTGGACTGATGTGTAAAAAAACAAGACATTGTTGTACTGGTGTGTAACAAACTAGACATTGTTGGACTGGTGTGTAACAAACTAAACATTGTGGGACTGATGTGTAACAAACTAGACATTGTGGGACTGGTGTGTAACAAACTAGACATTGTTGGACTGATGTGTAAAAAAACTAGACATTGTTGGATTGGTGTGTAACAAACTAGACATTGTTGGACTGGTGTGTAACAAACTAAACATTGTGGGGCTGATGTGTAACAAACTAGACATTGTGGGACTGGTGTGTAACAAACTAGACATTGTTGGACTGATGTGTAAAAAAACTAGACATTGTTGGACCGGTGTGTAACAAACTAGACATTGTTAAACTGGTGTGTAACAAACTAGACTTTGTTGAACTGGTGTGTAATAAACCAGACTTTGTTAGATTGGCATGTAAAAAATTAGACCTAGTCAGACTGGTATGTAACAAAGTAGACTTTGTCGTACTGGTGTGTTACTTTTACATTTGCAAGCATTGATCGTATGACCCAAAGTTGCTGACTGACGTCACCAACAGATGAGCTCGGCTGTCACCCAAGTCCCTGAACTGATTATCCGCAATTGGCTCCACTTGATCTCCATGATGACGTCATTAGGCAAGCGGTCAAGTGCTGATTGCGGAAACCAAGCAGTTATCTCTCTCCATTTACGCTCAGCTCCAGGACTAACTGGTCAGCTGATTGCATATTTACAACCGGATAATGGCTCAGAGTGGCTGGAGGTTGTCAGTTTAAACCCATCGAGGCAAAAGGTCACAACTAACAGAGATGCCGAGTTGGTCATACGTCTTAGTAAACGTGCTCGTACATCAAGACGCCGTCGTCACTTGGATGCATAATGACTTTAGCTTTGCATGAGTGTGTCTATATGTCCTTCGGTCTCCATACTTCTTTCTTCAAGTGCCGATCATTCAATGTCTACTTGTTTATTTAATGATACAGTTTCAGGTGATAGATTGTCAGGTGATAGATTGTCAGGTGATAGATTGTCAGGTGATAGAGTGTCAGGTGATAGATTGTCAGGTGATAGAGCGTCAGGTGATAGAGTGTCAGGTGATAGAGAGTCAGGTGATAGATTGTTAGGTGATAGAGAGTCAGGTGATAGATTGTTAGGTGATAGATTGTCAGGTGATAGAGAGTCAGGTGATAGAGAGTCAGGTGATAGAGAGTCAGGTGATAGATTGTTAGGTGATAGATTGTTAGGTAATAGAGAGTCAGGTGATAGATTGTCACGTGATAGATTGTCAGGTGATAGAGAGTCAGGTGATAGAGAGTCAGGTGATAGATTGTTAGGTGATAGAGAGTCAGGTGATAGATTGTTAGGTGATAGATTGTCAGGTGATAGATTGTCAGGTGATAGAGTGTTAGGTGATAGATTGTTAGGTGATACATTGTCAGGTGATAGAGAGTCAGGTGATAGATTGTTAGGTGATAGAGAGTCAGGTGATAGAGAGTCAGGTGATAGATTGTTAGGTGATAGAGAGTCAGGTGATAGATTGTTAGGTGATAGAGTGTCAGGTGATAGATTGTCAGGTGATAGATTGTCAGGTGATAGATTGTCAGGTGATAGAGAGTCAGGTGATAGATTGTTAGGTGATAGATTGTCAGGTGATAGAGCCTATGGTGATAGATTGTCAGGTGATAGAGCCTATGGTGATAGAGTGTCAGGTGATAGAGAGTCAGGTGATAGATTGTCAGGTGATAGAGAGTCAGGTGATAGATTGTCAGGTGATAGAGAGTCAGGTGATAGATTGTTAGGTGATAGAGAGTCAGGTGATAGATTGTTAGGTGATAGATTGTCAGGTGATAGAGAGTCAGGTGATAGATTGTCAGGTGATAGAGAGTCAGGTGATAGATTGTCAGGTGATAGAGAGTCAGGTGATAGAGTGTCAGGTGATAGAGAGTCAGGTGATAGATTGTCAGGTGATAGAGAGTTAGGTGATAGATTGTTAGGTGATAGATTGTCAGGTGATAGAGAGTCAGGTGATAGATTGTTAGGTGATAGAGAGTCAGGTGATAGAGAGTCAGGTGATAGATTGTTAGGTGATAGAGAGTCAGGTGATAGATTGTCAGGTGATAGATTGTCAGGTGATAGATTGTCAGGTGATAGAGAGTCAGGTGATAGATTGTTAGGTGATAGATTGTCAGGTGATAGAGCCTGAGGTGATAGAGTGTCCGGTGATAGAGAGTCAGGTGATAGATTGTCAGGTGATAGAGAGTCAGGTGATAGATTGTTAGGTGATAGAGAGTCAGGTGATAGATTGTTAGGTGATAGATTGTCATTTGATAGATTGTCAGGTGATAGATTGTCAGGTGATAGAGCGTCAGGTGATAGATTGTCATATGATAGATTGTCAGGTCATAGAGAGTCAGGTGATAGAGCCTCAGGTGATAGAGTGTCAGGTGATAGAGAGTCAGGTGATAGATTGTCAGGTGATAGAGAGTCAGGTGATAGATTGTTAGGTGATAGAGAGTCAGGTGATATATTGTTAGGTGATATATTGTTAGGTGATAGATTGTCAGGTGATAGATTGTCAGGTGATAGATTGTCAGGTGATAGATTGTTAGGTGATAGATTGTCAGGTGATAGATTGTCAGGTGATAGATTGTCAGGTGATAGATTGTTAGGTGATAGATTGTCATATGAGAGATTGTCAGGTGATAGATTGTCAGGTGATAGATTGTCAGGTGATAGATTGTCAGGTGATAGATTGTCAGGTGATAGATTGTCAGGTGATAGATTGTCAGGTGATAGAGAGTCAGGTGATAGAGAGTCAGGTGATAGAGAGTCAGGTGATAGATTGTTAGGTGATAGATTGTTAGGTGATAGATTGTCAGGTGATAGATTGTCAGGTGATAGATTGTCAGGTGATAGAGCGTCAGGTGATAGATTGTTAGGTGATAGAGAGTCAGGTGATAGATTGTTAGGTGATAGAGAGTCAGGTGATAGATTGTTAGGTGATAGAGAGTCAGGTGATAGATTGTTTGGTGATAGATTGTTAGGTGATAGAGCGTTAGGTGATAGAGAGTCAGGTGATAGATTGTTTGGTGATAGATTGTTAGGTGATAGAGCGTTAGGTGATAGAGAGTCAGGTGATAGATTGTTAGGTGATAGATTGTTAGGTGATAGATTGTTAGGTGATTGAGAGTCAGGTGATAGATTGTTTGGTGATAGAGTGTCAGGTGATAGATTGTTAGGTGATAGAGTGTCAGGTGATAGAGTGTCAGGTGATAGATTGTTAGGTGATAGAGCGTCAGGTGATAGAGAGTCAGGTGATAGAGAGTCAGGTGATAGATTGTTAGGTGATAGAGAGTAAGGTGATAGAGTGTCAGGTGATAGAGAGTCAGGTGATAGATTGTTAGGTGATAGAGTGTCAGGTGATAGATTGTTAGGTAATAGAGTGTTAGGTGATAGATTGTTAGGTGATAGAGTGTCAGGTGATAGAATGTTAGGTGATAGATTGTTAGGTGATAGAGCGTCAGGTGATAGAGTGTCAGGTGATAGATTGTTAGGTGATAGAGTGTCAGGTGATAGATTGTTAGGTGATAGAGTGTCAGGTGATAGAGTGTCAGGTGATAGAGTGTCAGGTGGTAGAGTGTCAGGTGATAGAGTGTCAGGTGATAGATTGTTAGGTAATAGAGTGTCAGGTGATAGAGCGTCAGGTGATAGATTGTCAGGTGATAGATTGTCAGGTGATAGAGCGTCAGGTGATAGATTGTTAGGTGATAGAGTGTCAGGTGATAGATTGTCAGGTGATAGATTGTCAGGTGATAGAGCGTCAGGTGATAGATTGTTAGGTGATAGAGTGTCAGGTGATGCAGCGTCAGGTGATAGATTGTCAGGTGATAGAGAGTCAGGTGATAGAGCCTCGGGTGATAGATTGTCAGGTGATAGAGAGTCAGGTGATAGATTGTTAGGTGATAGAGAGTCAGGTGATAGAGTGTCAGGTGATAGAGTGTCAGGTGATAGAATGTCAGGTGATAGAGTGTTAGGTGATAGATTGTTAGGTGATAGAGAGTCAGGTGATAGAGTGTTAGGTGATAGAATGTTAGGTGATAGAATGTTAGGTGATAGAGCGTCAGGTGATAGAGTGTCAGGTGATAGATTGTTAGGTGATAGAGTGTCAGGTGATAGATTGTTAGGTGATAGAGTGTCAGGTGATAGAGTGTCAGGTGATAGAGTGTCAGGTGATAGAGTGTCAGGTGATAGAGTGTTAGGTGATAGAGCGTCAGGTGGTAGAGTGTCAGGTGATAGATTGTTAGGTGATAGAGTGTCAGGTGATAGATTGTTAGGTGAAAGAGTGTCAGGTGATAGAGTGTTAGGTGATAGAGAGTCAGGTGATAGAGAGTCAAGTGATAGAATGTCAGGTGATAGAGAGTCAGGTGATAGAATGTTAGGTGATAGATTGTTAGTTGATAGAGTGTCAGGTGATACAGTGTAAGGTGATACAGTTTGTCAGATCTGTCAAGGGATACAGTTTGTCAGATCTGTCAAGAGATACAGTGTGTTAGATCTGTCAAGAGATACATTTTAACACAAATACATTCATACACTCACATACATACAAACCCAAACACCCATACATGAACGTACTCATGAATACTCATGCACACACACACACATCCATATGTGCGAAAGCGCCTTATCATACACAGTCACCCACACACACCCACACAGTCACCCACACACACCCACACATCCTTAGAGGTCTGAGCCTCAGGAGGGGTAGTGCTCTATATTGTGAAACTAGGCCGCTTCCGACTTTACAATAGCTAGACGCGCCTTCAACAAATAAACTCTGAGTAGACTGCCGTACAGGGCTAATGTCATCACACTGAACTGTCCCAGATCCGGGACGATCCCTGACACCATACAACACCATATATATACATAAAAAATCACCCATACATACACAATCGTCAGACTATACACAAACAAAGAGAACGAACGAACAAACCAACGAACGAACTTTATTTTCAAAGGGTCACAGATTGGGCACGTGAACCCATCTTACATTCGGCCCTTCCAAACACCCGTCTTTCACACTGCAGCTTTATTTTATCAATAAGCATGTTATATTCATATGATAATATACATATTATGAATATTAAAAAAGGAAAAAAAAAAAAAAAAAGACAAAGCACAAAAGCACGGGTGATAAAATGCATGCACTCACACACACAAACACACACACACACACACACACCCACCCACTTAAACACACCCAGATACCTTCAGACATACACAAAAACACCCCATTCACCCACATACATACCTACATACCCACACAGACACGCACATTCCACACACATACAAACATACATATATACACACACATACACACTCATAGAAACAAATGCAGACACACATACACAGACATACGTGCAAATACCCAATCACACACGTAGCAACACACAGACACAAACATGTGACACACACACAAACCGGCATACACATACGCAGACACACACAGACATATATGCACACACACACACACGCAGAAACAAACACACACAGATACACGCACACAGACACACTCGCAGACACACAAACACACACAATCGCAGACACACACACGCTGATGCTCACGCAGACACATACACACAACCACAGACACACAAACACACACAACCACAGACACACAAACACACACAACCACAGACACACAAACGCAGAAGCATACCCAGACATTCATACACACAGGTACACGCAGACACACACCCACAGACACGCAAACACATACGCAGTCATACATTTACACAGGCACATCCAAACAGACACACATGCAGACACACATGCACACACATGTAGACACACCCACACTACACAAGAGATACACACAAACAAACACACACACAGACATATGCACACAGACACACACAGAGACAAACACAGATATATACACTTAGAGACGCGCATATACACAGGCATTCACGCAGACACACATACACACACAGGTACATACAAAGACACACACACAAACACAACAAAGATACACACATACAAACACACACGCAGGCAAACACACAACCACATACACGTAGAACACATAAACAAGCAAACACACGAACAGACACATGTAGACACATACACACAGTCCTACACGCAGACACAAACACACAAATACACAAACACACACAGACGCACAAATACACAAACACACACAGACACACATACATAGATACACACCCACAGAAACACAATACACATTTCTTTACACACAGAGACGCACGTATACACAAGCATTCACGCCGACACACAGGCACATACCAACACACACACACACAAACACAACAAAGACACACACACAGCCACATACACATAGAACACACAGACACGCAAACACATTCACAGACACATGGAGACACACACACAGATACACATGTAGACACATACGCACAGTCATACACGCAAGCACACACACGCGCACCAAAACACACATACACACAAACAAACACACATACATAGATACACACCCACAGACACACAATACTAACACACGCAGACACAAAGATACACACACAGACACATACACAGAAACGCATACGCAAACCCACAGGCACTCATGCACGCGTAGACACACATGCCTACCTACACACAAACACAGATAATCGCTCACAGACATATACACACAGACACATACCCACACAGACACACAGAAGACACTCACGCAGAAACTCACACACACATACACACACAAACATAACAAGGCGAACGCACACAAAAACACACGTATACACACAAGGACACGTAGACACGCCTACACTGAGACATAATCACACAACCCCCCCCCCCCTCAAACACACACAGTCACACGCACATGTAGACATACAGGTACACATACACATATTCTCGCAACAACTTATTCAACTACCGATACACACACTCATACATACACAAACACGCCTACACGTACACACATACATATCACACATTTACATGCCGCCCAAACAAAAGTAGACAGCAGACACACAAACACGCCTACACGTACACACATACATACCACACATTTACATGCCGCCCAAACAAAAGTAGACAGCAGACACACAAACACGCCTACACGTACACACATACATACCACACATTTACATGCCGCCCAAACAAAAGTAGACAGCAGACACACAAACACGCACACACAGCAAGGGGCGCATGGAGCGAAAT